TGGGGCTGCCCCCCTGCCACTGTCTGCGCTTGGCCCCTGGGGTCTCTTCTCCCCTCCCCTCGCTGGGGCTCCCCCCCTGCCACTGTCTGCGCTTGGCCCCTGGGGTCTCTTCTCCCATCCCCTCGCTGGGGCTCCCCCCTGCCACTGTCTGTGCCCGGCCTCTGGGGTCTCTCCTCCCCTCGCTGGGGCTCTCAGCCAGCCCCCCCCCCTTGGGCCACGGTCTGCGCCCGGCCCCTGGGGGTCTCTACTCCTTCCAGGTTGTCCCAACTCTGGTCCCTCGTCTCCCTTCGGGGGCCCCTGGGGGCCCCTTGCAGCCCCTCCCTTTCTCCTGCATGGAATGGAGCCATTTCATTCCATGCTGACTATGTGCAGATAAGGTTTTACAGCCTGGCTCTTATTTGTGCAGGGACAGCTCAGGAGTCAAATTCTTACATGAGTGACTTGTGTAAATGGGACCACCTATTCACTGTCTGTACCCCTAACGTAGGCCAGTTGCTGGACCCAGATTCTAGTGTAAGAGGACCCCCCTTCTCCCACCAGAACGTGTTGCACCATGTGAAACACAGCTAGGCTTGCTGTACACTAACTTTTTTTTCCCTGAAAGTCTTCCTTTGATGCTAGCAACAATAGGAATGCTATTAGAGACAGCTTGCAAGCTTTTTAACATCATGTTGAGTAACTCCATGGTGGTAAAAATGCATGCTACTTACCGTTGGGTTTAAGCTGATAACACCAGGTGCTGATAATGGGTAAAACACTTGCTAATGTAGATTTACTGTGTGGAGTCTTACTGGAGTCATTTGGTATTCAAATTGGAGTATCAGGAGATAGGTTTCAGATTATGGGGTCCGAGGAACACCTAGGAAGATCTGCTAGGAAAGTGGATATGGCCTGAATGGTGTATGAGGGAGAGGAGACAGTTTATCTTGTGCTCAGACATTTAGGACAGCAGCTGCTAGATAGAATTTAGGTGTGTTAGTTTTAAGTGATTTGCTAATCATCTCCCTGCTTGGTTACTATAACCTCTTCTTCTTCAGCCTCACTGACATGCACATTGCTCCTCTTAAGGTGTCCAAGGTGTAGTTGCCAAGACTATCTTTTAGCCAGTTAATCTGATCATATCTTCCCCTCATTGAATCCCTACACTAGTCCTCAGACACACCAGTTTGTTCAGCCTCCATTCATAGTCTTTCACAATTTCATCCTGATTTTCATCTGTTACCTGGTCTGCTATTGTCCACTCTCCACCACAAGTGATACTGCATCCATAATTTCCTCCTATTTGTGCCTCTGTGCAATTTACTGTGGTTTCCCCTTCTATGTGGAACACTCTCCCCATTCTAGCTTGCCAACCTTTCTTCATTGAAGTCTGCCTTAACAAACCACTTCTGCAATGAGTCTTCTAAGGAGTGAGTTTATAACTAAAGAGGAAAAAAGCAAAGTTGCCTCCTCTTGCCAATGTATTCCATGTGCTGTGGATCTGTCATCTTGGTTGTAATGTTTTGGGGTTTGGGAGTCTATATTCTTTTGTGTACTCTGCAGTGCCAGGCATATTCTGGGTGCTTAACAAATAATAGAGCCAATATTTGTATACAAGTGGAAATCATTCTAAAAGTTACATTTCTTTACTTTTGAAGTTAAACTTTATTCTACGGAGATTGCATAAGGGCCAAAATTCTGGATTCTGTACTACTGGGGTATCTGGTTTGGCAGTAAACACATGCTTAGCACTTCACTTTTTGTTTAAATTGATAGGAAACAGAACTTGTATAAAGGTGGGTTCTTTATAGTCTGTCTAAAGGAAGATTTAATTGTGTGGTCAGTTTCACTTCCACATTTCAATGAACTGTTGGAAAGGCACATACTCAAGTTTCCATTGCTTGTTGATAGTTGGCTTTCATCCCCAAGGGCACACCTATGTTACACAATATACGTGGTCTATATTTTCTCTTTGCCCTTCTTCCTTTGAACCCTGCCCCTGCTGATGTTGACTTCTGAGCAACAGTGTCACTTCTGCCCTAGTTTTTTTTTTTCTTTGAAGAAAGGGGAGAAAATAATTTAAGGACATACTAAGCAACCAAGTTAATTGCTTAACATTGTAAAGTATAATAAATTTCCCTTAAAAAAGAAATAGGTAGCTAAATCATATGCTAGCTATCAGACAATTAAATGTCATCAAACTTCTGAAGTAATGCTCAGCTTCAGACCCAATCCTGCACTCACCGACAGTAATGGGATTTTTGCCATTGACTACACTGGTAACAAGACTGCATAGTGTTCAAAGAGCATTAGTCTTCCTTCTGTGCCATTAAACAAGCCATTCAATCGGATTATCAGAATAGATAAACTCCAAATTAAACCTCTGATTATTAATAAAAGAAGGATTCTTGAATTAAATTTAAATTGAGCAAAAAATCCATAACAGGCATTAACCAAATTCAGTAATGTGAGTTTAGCAGTACTTTGATCTTCCAGAACAAACCATGTCGTGTCAAGGAAAGGATCATGGAAATCAAGCAAACAAATTTAGTCCCATATAGCCTGACCCTTGCTTATTTCAAACTCAGCTCCTCCTGACATGTAGCAAATTTTCTATACATCAGTCCTTTTCTGAAAATTTTAGAATTTACCAAATCCCAAGTGTTGTCTCCATACTCCTGTACAGTGATTCTCAAACTTTTGTACTGGTGACCCCTTTCACATAGCAAGTCTGAGTGCAACCCCCGTTTCCCCTTATAAATAAACACTTTTTAATATAAATAATGTTTGCCTCCAGCATTTATAATGGTGGTAAAGTGGGGTTTGGGGTGGAGGCTGACAGCTCATGACCCCCTGAGGGGTCCTGACCCCCAGTTTGAGAACCCCCTGCTCCTACAGGAGTATTTGAATGAAGGGAGAATGACGTGGTCTTGCAAAGGAGGTTTCGTTTGGAGAAGGCAGGGTAAGGGAGTAGGAAAGGGGCATGCAAACTTCGGCCTGAGAGCCGCATCAGGTTCCTGAAATTGTCTGGAGGGCGGGTTAGGGAAAGCTGTGCCTCCCCAAACAGCCAGGCAACTCCTGACCCATCCAATCCCCCTGTTCCCTGATGGCCCCCTGGGGACACGTGCCCCATCCACCCCCCCCCCCGCTCTCTGTCCTCTGAGCGCCCCCGGACTCCCTGCCGCATCCAACACCCCTCTCTCCTTTCTACCTGCCCCCTCCGGGACCCCTGCCCCATCCAATCACCCCTTCTCCCTGACCACCCCTGGACACCGCTTCCCCATCCAACCCCTTCTCTCCTTCCTGACTGCCCACCTGGAACCCCTGCTCCCATTCAACCTCCCCCAGTTCCCTGACCCTATCCATCCCCCCTGGCCCCTGACCACCCCCCAAACTTCCCTGCCCCCTTACCAGGCTGCCTGGAGCACCGCTGACTAGCGATGCGGCTGCACCAGGACAGGCAGCCACGCCGCGCAGCACAAAGCACTGGGTCAGGCCGGGCTTTGCAGCTGCACTGCCCCAGGAGCTTGCTGCTTCACTGCCCAGAGCATTGCACCTGCAACGCAGTGAGCTGAGGCTGCTGAGGGAGGGGGAACAGCAGGGGAGGGGACGGGGCCTAGTCTCCCGGGACGGGGCCTAGTCTCCCAGGCCAGGAGCTCAGGGGCCGGACAGGACGGTCCAACAGGCTGAATGTGACCCGTGGACTGTAGTTTGCCCACCTCTGGAGTAGGAACACTGTCACTTTAGCAGTATTTCACATCTCTCATTAGCTGCTCATGATTTTCTCTTTATTCAAGTCTAATAAATGGTAGTGCCTCCAACTTGCAATTAAAACCCCTTGTGTGAAGGAGAGAATGGAGCACAGCAGAACTGCATTATGCTAGTCCATGCATTCTATCATTGGGCACCCAATGATGTGCTAAGAGCTTCGCAAAACTAGTATATATCATCCCTGCCCCAAGGAGCTTACAGTCTAAAATTGGCCCACGTGAGGGCCAAAAAAGTGTACTAATTGGTAAGATTCTGGTAACAAGGTCATGTGGTTACTCAAGTATGTACTTGTTGATAGCTAATTTCACCTGTTAGCACACTTTCTTTTATATGAACATTTTTCCTTCACCCCATTTTTTCATTTTCAGATGCTATTCCTGGTTTGTTTCAACATGCCGTACAATTGAAAAATGTACTTTTGAGTACAGAAAAAGTATATTTAATTTACTTAAGTTTGGTCATTTGAGACTACCTGAATTCCTGTAAACATTTTCCACAATTTTTGTTTTTAGAGGTTAACATCTAAAAATCACATGTTCTTCTTGAACCTGCTTTTTATTTTAAATTACCTTAATCATATTATACTCTGACATTTTAGGAGGAAGTTTTCCCTTATCCAGAGGTTTCTAATGAAGAATTAGAAGAAATCAACCAGTTTGTAGGACCAGTAGAAAAATTCTTCAGTGAAGAAGGTATGGTTACTCATCCTTTTTCCATACAAATGGTTTCTAATTAGTGATATTACTATAATTGAAATACACCTCTACCCCGATATAACGCGACCCGATATAACACGAATTTGGATAGAACTCGGTAAAGCAATGCTCCGGGGGGGCAAGGCTGTGCACTCCTATGGATCAAAGCAAGTTCGATATAACACGTTTCACCTATAATGCAGTAAGATTTTTTTGGCTCCTGAGGACAGTGTTATATTGGGGTAGAGGTGTACTAAAAAGGAAACACTGTAACACTTTTTGTGCATTTATCATGACTTGTATAGTGTCACTGTTTTCCCTTGCATAGTCAATTTTCTCTTTTTGTGTGGTTCACTCATGCATCAAAGAGAAGAGAGAAATAAGAATTATTGTAAAACCACAAAAATTGAAAGGTCTCTGGGGCAGATGTAGGAATTGAAACTGCTTTTAACTTAGATTGTCCTTTAAAAGTGTGTTCCTTTCACTGTCTGTAATTTATAAGCATCTGACTTTGGTCATTTTTCCAACCAAATTCAGCAGAGGCAAACCCAAAGAGTGACTATTTCAGAAGTTATGAGCATATAAAAACAAACTAATAGATGTTCTGCAATCTTAACTAGAGCAGTGGATCAAGAGAACTTTTTGCTTAGCAAAGGCACAGTGTGATTAAATGTTTAATTGTTTCTCTGAGAGAATAGAGAAACAATTGTTGAATAACTCCTAGTTTCTTTACAAGCACTAATTGTCACTTCTGACATAGTTAAGCAGTATCATCCCCAATTTCTAGATGGCAAGTGCAGGGCAAAGTCCCAGGAGGAAGTCCAGGGTCATGATGTGGATTAAAACTCCTGAGATCCTGACTGCTATTGGCCCAATAGCCTATGACCCTGTTCAAAGGAATAAGTCAGCAATTTAAGCTATGAAACTAAAAAAAATATTGTTAAGAGTGAATGAGAAGACAATGCATATTTAAAGGGCTATGAAATCATAAAACAAATACTCTTTAGTCAGTTTTAGAGATGGTATTTGATGGAGAAATGAAAAACATCAGATTACATGGTCTAGTTGATGATAATTATTCAATTTTGTTTGGGTTCTCTGCCATTTCTAGTTAGATATTCAGGGATCATTCTGAGCAGCAAAAATGAAACTGGAGAGCTGCCTAAATGCTTGTAAACTTGATACAGTTGGCACTGAGCAAAGAAATTCAACTGAGTAGATCTCTCTGAAGCTTGGCAGTTCTCATGCACCATGCTGATGTCTCTGTCACTCTGGTGAATGAACAAGTAAACTACAAACACTTTTCTCTCCCAACTTAGTTAATTATACCCCAAGTATATTCTTGATATTGTGTGCTTTGTAGTCTAAACCATTAAAAAAATCAATTACTTTGTTAAAATGTTGTTTTTTTCTGACTGAATTTCATCCCTCAACCAAGCATTGTGGTTGACCCCTTCTACACTTTTGGGGGGAGGGATAGCTCAGTGGTTTGAGTATTGGCCTGCTAAACCCAGGGTTGTGAACTCAATCCTTGAGGGGGGGCCATTTAGGGATCTGGGGCAAAAATCAGTACTTGGTCCTGCTAGTGAAGGCAGGGGACTAGACTCGATGACTTTCAAGGTCCCTTCCAGTTCTATAATTTATTTATTTTAACCTCATGCAGTATTTGTCAAGTCACCTGCCTGTGATGAATAGGAGTCTTTCTCAGGGAAGTGCCACTGGAATCTGCAGAATTTTTGCTTTTTTTCCTCAAGAATTTTTTTTGGCAAGGTAGCTTCAGCCTCTGTTGCTGAATAGCAACATAATGAAAACTAATACAAGGGTGTAAACTGACAAGAATTGTTATTGTTCAGGACCTAATGGCAGCTGTGCAACTGGCAAGAACTAGATCTGTTCTTTCTTTAAAAACTACCATGTCTATTAAAATTTATTGGGATAAATGTTCTTGAGGCTTTTCTGGGACAAATTCCTTGTTTTTTTGTTTATCCCAAAATTTTGGTACTGTGAGAATTTCTTATACAGTGCTAATGCTTCATACTAGTGTACACCTGAATGACCAGTATGCATAGAAATGTTCGAGATGGTTGAAAAAGCTATAGATTCTCCCCATTTCCAAGGCCCTAGTATTCATGCGTCATCACTTGGAGCTATAACTTCTGCCATTGGAACCTTCCAATCAGTTCCTTCTTGAATGCAGTCAGGGAAGGAGCACCGTGAGGAGCTGTGCCTCTTCAGCTGGAGTATTATTTCAAGTTCTTCCCAGAAGCTGTTCTTGTAGAAATCTCTTCAGTTTTATTTTCTTTGGGGATCATTCACTTCTTGCCATGTAAGAAATGACTGGAAGATTCCAAGGGCTGTTGTCATATGCTATCTAGGAGCCACCATGGAGAGAGGAGTTGGCTCAATTTCTCTCCCACTATTGCTGCCTTAGGGACTAAACCAGTAGAAGCAGAATTGCAAGGTCAAGTAACTTCTTCTTAGAGGAACATACCTGAGGGGTTTTATTTCCCTGCAGTCTGTAGTGGTAACCTTCATATGCAGTGGGTCACAGTATTCCACCTTACATCTACTTCAAAACTATGGTAGTGAGCTGTAATAGTTCAGTAGCTGATGATTGCTGGGGGCTGTTTAATGCTTTTCCAGATGCAGGGGAGTGAGGGGTTGGGGCGTGTTAGGCATTGTTGTTAAAGGCAGTCTGAAGCTAATAGGAGCAGTTTCTGTAAAGTTAAATGGGTGAAGCATTTCTGCACCTGCTGGAGCATGAGTCGAAAGCTAGGGTGCTGGAACATAGTCTGCTTTGCTGCTGAGTATGCTTTGAGATGCTAGAGGAGAATACTTCTTGTTGAGGGGGTGGGGGAAGATGAGACACTCAGATTGCTCCTCTTTCCATTAGCCATATCCTGTTTTGCAGGTCTGTGCTCTCATGTTGATTGAGAATAGAGGTTCTGCTGCTATTAACTTGCATTAGCATGCCATGGTATTGAGAATGCTGCTGCAGCTTGCCTGCTTTGCACTGATTCAAATACTCTTGCGGAGAGGCACGCTTGCTGTAACCTGTCATACTTCTACTTTCAGTGGACTCTAAAAAGATTGACCAAGATGCTAAAATCCCACCAGAAACTCTAAAGGGATTGAAGAACCTTGGACTCTTTGGCATGCAGATTCCAGAGGAATATGGTGAGTGAAAAAAGATACTGAAAGTAGAACCAAACAATTTCTTCATCTTCCTTTCAGTACAGAATGCACCATAAGGCATCACATGCCACTTCCCCCTGTTTTCAAGTCCTTGGCTGAAATGGAGAGGGCTTGGTGTTGCATGGGCATCTGTCTCACAGCACTTGCTCAAGATGCATAAAATTCTACTTGATTAAAAGAACTGGTTTACGAGACAAACTGTGGTGTCTGATGGAACTGTCCATATTGAAGCCACTACCTTAGACTCACTCAAGTAAGCAGTGAACCCATTTGTCCACTTTAAAAGCTTAATAGCTGTTTTGAGACATAGTTGTATTTTCTCTATAACCATCATGGAAAAATGGGTCTTAAAGGGGGATTTGAAGGAGGACTGGATAGTGGCTTTAAAAACTAGTTTGGCCTAGGTATGTGGTGTATAAAGAGCAACCTGAACTACAATGCATTTGCTGCAGTGACTATAATAGTGCTGAATAAAGCTGGGAAGCAGACATAACTCAGTTCTTGTGCTTTAGTTAGTTTAGATCTTCTTTTAACCATACTCTTGTGTGTTGATGCATGCAAGTTGACCCGTTACTTATTTTTGTTTAATTTCTCATGAGTGCCACAGAGATGCAAATCGTATTTCTGCAAAGCTCTGAGCGCACAATCCATTTGATCCCATTCCAAGACTAATACATAACACAAATAACTAAAAAGAAAATATGGAAGAGTGGGTTTTTTTTTGTTTTTTTTTGAATAATGAAATTGTCATCTTAGTCACTCGAATTCATAGCAGGTTTAATTTTGTCTTAGACTATATCAAATTATCTACTGCTCTAGTAGTCTTAAAACAGTCTTTGTAATGCCAAATGTGTCTGAGTAACAGGAGAAGACCCTTTTTTTTTTTTTTTTTAAATCTGAAGTCTTTGTGCACAACTAATATTCTCATCACCCAATAGGTGTGTTTACATGCAGACAGCTAATTAGACACCATTTCTGTGTGGGGATCTCAGGCTTTTTCCAAACATCTTCTAGCTTTTTCTCTTTTACTTTTTTGTATGTAGTCTATATTGAAATATTTTAGTAGACCTGCAATGCTGAGTGGGTTGGTGCACCAGGAGAAAATGCACTGAGATGTATCCATTTCACTATGATGCATCATATAACACTTTACATTAATCAAACTTATGACAATCCTTCTGTGAAAGAGAATCTGATCTAGCATAAGCCTCTGTTTGAGAGTTGCTGGTTTGTTCATGCAGTGTTTGTTTTTACAGAGTTGAAGACAGGATTGTAAAGTTGTTCTGGCATAAGAATTTTTTGCAATCACTTCGTATGAAATGGGACATGATTGTATTCTAAAAGTAGATTAGGAAAAATCAGTCCAGGGTTGTGAGGGAAAGTACAATAAATCTTCAGAAATCAGCCCCAGGATTTCAATTTCAGGTCCGTCCCATAAGTTTTTCTGTGTAGCCAGAAGTGCCAGCAATCCTTCCAGTTCAAAAGATCTGCTATATCAACTAATGTCCAGTAGATCAATGAGTGGTGATCTGCTTTATGAGCTAGTGGCATAACGCAAAAGATGCCTTCTTGATGCTGACGGATATGACATATGAGCAGCGTATCTAATGATGAGCCTACCTCCTATCCCCGGAGGCAATTCATTATGAGTGAGACATTAATGGAAAGAGAAATCATGGCTCTGGGCCTCATTGGTGTATTCGCCAGGCTCACTAATATGAAAACAGTGAAGACATTGGAAACAGCTTCGGTATTTGAATGAGTTACATCCACAGTATGTTAAGTTAAGTCATGTACAGTTGTGGTTGGTAAGTTAATGTTTATATGGATATGGATTTCAGTTGTACTTTTACTTTATAAAAATGTGACTTAAGTCTTGGTCTCTTAAAAAAATTGAATTTGGCATAACTTTGTGAATAACGTTAGTCCCAGGTGCAGCCAAAAAACAACACAAAAACCTGGGATTGAATTTCAAATAAACTAATACTTCAGCAAAAATACTCTTAAAATGTATGTTTCCTCAAACACAAATATGAACCTGGAAATTTCAAGTAAAAGATCCACGTTGCTTACTAACCCGACCTCTCCCTCCCCCCAATAAAATAAAAGCATCCAATTACAAAGTTAAGAGCACCAAAACAATCTGCTACAGCACCGTAAGGGCAGTGTTAATTCTTACATCTTCAACTCTAATCACAAATTAGAACGTACTGTGCTTGTGCAGCTTCCTAATGAAGTATCAAAAATGTGAATTTGTGAACTATAAAAGGTGGTTTTCTAACTGGTGTAATAAATGTCTGAGACTAAATTATGCTTTTTCACTACATGCTCTTTCCATCTAATAGTCGTAACTGGATGTTCTGTGCCTTGAATATGTGAAATTTTTTAAACAGTGAGTAATATTCTGCTTAATCTGGAATTGTTAGTCTTTACTTTGACTCTGTATGGCTATAAGGAGGATGGAGGCTGAGCAACCTCTGTACAATTAAGAGTAAGATATTAAACGTTTTTGTGGTCACTGATGAAGTGACCCTGTAATGGGTGAAGAAAGCTGTCAGTCATATGTTAAAGTAGCAATCAAGGTCAGAGTTAAGATTACTGGATGACCTATACTGTATATTTCATACTTTCAGGTACTTTGGTGGTTTTTGTAAAATAAAATCTTTACTTGGAATTTCCAGGCTTTCTACAAAGCTATAATATTCTTTGCCTTTTTTACAAAGCTATAATAATCTTCAAAGGTGTGCCTTGAGGTTGTGGTGTAACAAATTTCAGGGTAACAAATTTCTTTGTGTGGAATTCCCATAGAGACTTTTAATTAAGTTGTTCAATGACAGGAGTATCTGTGCATCTTCCATGCAAGAATGGATCCCCCCCTCCCCCCCCCCCCCCCCGGGACCAGCGACTCACCTCCACATGTGGCTACCTCCTTCCATTCCTCATACTGGACCTCTTGTTCCCTGGGTGACTTTCCTTCTCTTCGCAAACTTAGTTCATCTGTCATTCCTTTGAAGTGTGTGGGTAAAGCTGTTTTGGAGACTTCTTTTTTTAAGAAGTTATGTTTATATTTGAAGAGAAAAAACTAGGCAAATAAATTTAAAAATCAACATAGGGTTAAATTTTGAACTCATGTATTTCAAAAACTTCTATGCCTGACATTTTGCAGGAAATTTTCTTGTGAAATTTCATGTGTTTATTTTGAGTTTGACACTGGGATGATGTAGGTTTGAAAATCAGGCTTGTAACAGGAATCCAGCTTCAAAATTAACCTCTCCAAAACCTCCTTTGAGATAGACAAGACATCAAAGCTGGTAAACTGAAATTTGTTCTGGAAACATTTACAGAATAAAGCAATGATAAAAGCAGGTTGGCTAACACCTGCCTTCTATTTAAGTCACTTTGGAAAGTATTGGAAGTTAGTTCTGTGCAATAAGGCATATGCTTAGGCAGACCTAATGGAATATTTGGATACTAATTAACTTTGTATTATAAAATAAATATTTGCTGCTTTCATGTCTCATTTATACAAAATAGTACTGTTGTCAATACCATGGACAAATAAGGATGCTTCTAATAGCAAGAATAGCCTGTTGTCCAGCAAGAACTCTCGCAGCCTCTTTTAAGTGAACGTAGCATTCTATTCCAGGCTGCACAAAAGGTGAAATCTTGGCCCTTTTGAAGTCAATGGGAATTTTGGCTTTTACTGCAGGGGGGGCAGGATTTCACCTTTTGTGCAGTCTGCAATAGAATGCTTTGCTCACTTGACTGTTGCTTTAGTTAAAACAATTGTATTTGGGACAAGGTGGTTAACACACAATCTTGATGATCTTCAAGCATTGTTTGTATTAATTCAGTTCAGGTGATATTTGGAAGTTTGCCAGTTAATGTCAGATGTTTGGCTTCTCTGGATTTTCATATATGTACCATGCTGGGATAGCTTTTTCTGAAAAAATAAATGATCCACACAAACAGATTTCTTAAGAGACTGACCATTAAGTTTGCATTGGGATGCACATGTATCACAATAGTGTTTAATTACATAACATTTCTCAAATGCACAATAATATACTTTTTTCTACAACTTTAGATACAAATATGTGGCGTCTTGTAATATTTCTACCATTTAATTCTTACACTAATTTTGTGGCCCTAGAGGATTCCAACTTTGATTTACATGATTTCTCTAAATTGTGTTCTAATATGTCTTCCATAGCCACATATGATAGTCTCTTGTCAACCAACAGTACTGATTTCATTAAATGCAATTAACTGCAAAGCTATGTCAATGCAAAATTACATGGCTTGTGGAGGGCAACGGATTTCTATTTGTTTAACATGTAATATGTCTCTAAGCATGATTTACCTGGGCTTGTCATCCAAATGACTTTGTTATACCAGACCAACATAGCCCAGGAAAGTAGCATTGTAAGACATTACTGTACACTTGTAAAATATATTGTATTTGCTATGACATTCACGTAATTGGACTATATTGTAACTTGAAAGGGGGCGTAATTAAGGTTGTGCACGTGAACATGATTTTGGCATTTCCTGGTGTGAGCTTTTGACTTTGATGTAACCTTTATATTCTTAACAGACTTCTGTGTAAGGAAGCTTCTATTTGTCTTTAAAAGAAAAGAGGGAGGACAGGTGTAGAGAGGGACAACTTTAAAATAAAAAAAAAAGAGGAGCTTCATTCTCCCCTGCTCGGAAATATATTGGTTTTCAAAAGGACAAATACATAAATAATCACATCTAAATTCTGCAACTCGGAACTGCTTGGCTAGGCACTGCACAAGGGAAAACTCTATATCCCAGAGGTTCTTAACCAGGGGTCTGGGGCCCCCTGGGGGGGGGGGGGAAGGGGGCGCTTGCAGGTTTCAGGGGGTCCACCAAGCAAGGCCAGTGTTAGACTTGCTGGGGCCCAGGGCAGAAAGCTGAAGCCCTACCATATGGGGCTGAAGCCCATGGCCTTGGTCCCTTCCACCTGGGACTGAAGTTGAAGCCTGAGCAACTTAGCTTCCTGCAATTGCCCTAGGCAATTGCACTGCTTGCTACCCCCTAATGCTGGTCCTGGCTTTTATATGCATAAAGCTAGCTGTTACAGCACAGGTGGGCCGTGGAGTTTTTTATAGCATTGGGGGGGCCCTCGGGGAAAAGAGGTTGAGAAACCCCGCTCTATCCCACCTACCTTGGGTGGTCCACAGGCAGGAAAAAGGGAGTGGGTATGGGGGTGGGGAGAGTGGCGGAGTGGAAATTGTAATTAATATGGAGTATGTATTGAATGGGGAGGGAGAAGCAAGAAGCAGTGAGTGAATGAAAGGGGTAGAAATCAGACTGTTCATAGTTTTAAAGTTGAGCTTGTGATTGTACTTACTGGGTGCACAGGGGAAAAAGTGAATAGTATTCAGAGGTCTACCTGAATATTATTCCCATTCTCCTTTGTCATCTTATGAAAAAACTGTTTGTTTTAATAGCAAGTTTGCAATTGGTTACATAAAACTAATACTTTTCTATAGCCCAAGGTATCAAAATTATGCATATGCAAGTGCTGGAAACACAAAGGAAAGATCTTTAACATGAGATGCAATTATGTGTCATTTTTCCTTTTCCTAACTCTCTTCTCAGCTCCTTATAAATAAACTGTATATGTATTTACAGCTCGAGGTCACAAAATGGAAACAAAGTTCATACCCCTGTGGCAAATTAGTTTCTGAACATATTTAATTTTCATGGTAGACATTTTTAAGATTTAACTCTTACCCTCATTTAATACTCATTTAGAAAAGTGTTTTTGTGTTCAGTTTTGTCCTCTTCTTAATCTTTCTCTTCTCTTGTAAAGTGCAAGCCAACTTGGCTTTGCTTTTACTCTTCATGATGTCTTCTGTACCAGGTACAATGACATCAGCACTCTTCTGAGACTGTTTGTTAAACTATACTCCCTCTGCTGGCTGTTTCTGCAGCTGTTGAGCAAAACAATCATACGTGAACAGTAGCTGGGTTTCTTAAAAACTGAGTGAAGAACTCTAAACCAAACTAGATATGTAGTATTAGATGAATGATCTTTCAAGCATAAGTTTAATTTTTGTCCTAACACTCCTTTTGACATAAAGAAGGAAATGCTGAGTATTCACTGGACTTTGTTTTCTAACATTCAGTGGACTGAATGATGCAAGTTCTAGATGGGTGTGTGTGTGTGTGTGTGTCTGTCTGTCTGTCTGTCTGTCTGTCGCTCAACTTCTCTGGGTAGAACTAAAATATGTATGCTTCCGCACCTGGAAAAAAAACAAACCATAAGCAAATTTAAAAAGTTATTTTGTTTCTTCTAAAATGTGTTCCTCCTAAATTGCTATGAATACAGTGTGGTGTTCACTTTGTGGGCAAACTATATGCTTCAGTTACAATTAATATACCGTTAAAGGCTTCCTCAGCATTCTTTGAGCTTTTAAGACACTATGTTTTTGTTTTTCTATACTTCAAAGTATTTCTCTCTGTAGGGACAGCTCTTAAAGCAGTGACATGTATATGGATTGACAAAAGGAAAACATTTTTTCCCCCCCAGGTGGACTTGGTCTTTCAAATACAATGTATGCACGTTTAGGAGAAATCATTTCTCTAGATGGCTCTGTTGCGGTTACTTTGGCAGCTCATCAAGCAATAGGGCTTAAGGTAACATTGGGTTATTTTATTTGTTGTACACAGCTTCTAGAGGCTAGATGATATGAACTTACATTCAAGTGTAGATTTGGAGGTGTTGACTTATTTTGATAACAAATAAATAACTACCACCTGTTCATAGTAAATCAGGGGCTGCATTTTGACTTCATACTGGCCTGCTGTAAATTTGTTTCAAGAGTTTTCCTCCCATACACTAATCTCCTTTAAGTGCTTTAAAATCTACTGATTGAAAAGTACTATAAAAGAACAAAGTACTGTTTATTGTTCTCTTCTTGTGGCCAGTCTGGGATATTTGGTGTTAACCCTTCCCACTGCCAGAGAGCAATCAAAATTTTGTTGAGACTGCATCCTGACCTGGTACACACACACAGCTCTTAATTTGTATAAAAACATCTGATTGTAACTTGGTTTCCTTTTGATAAGAAGCCCTGCCTATAAAGATCTAAAGAAAAAGAAAATTCATTTTATATTAAATGTTTTGGAAAACAAGTAGGTCACGCCTTGGTCTTTCCTTGATACCCTTTTTATTTATAGTACAGCAATGGCAATAAAAGTACCACATTGTCTAATGGAGTGGGCTACCTGTAGGACTAAGGGGCTAGTCCAGGTTCCATGCTCATGTAGTTATTGGTCTCTTTGAGCTGGACAACTAGGATTTCAGTTGTGATGGTAGGCTGCTAGATACCCTGTCCAAAATGAAGTGGTCTAATGCCAGCTCATTTCAGGCAGTTGATCAGCTATCTGATACCTTTATTAATTGGACATTAATATGTCAAACACAATTTCAGTCTATTAAGTATATAATTAGATAAAATCATTAAGATTTTAATGTACAAATTTTCTGTATATTATGAATGAAACATTGTGTAAATGGTGCTTTACTTCTTGCACATCATATGTTGGTAAGTCTCTTATTCATTTCTTTGTCTAGGGAATCCTGATTTTTGGCACTGATGAGCAGAAAGCAAAGTATCTACCTAAATTGGCATCTGGGGAGCATATTGCAGCTTTTTGCCTTACAGAACCAGGAAGGTAACATTATTTTGTAACTAAAAATGTGTGGTTTTTTTTTATGACAGACATTAGTTTGGTTTGTTACAATAGCACCTACTTAAAATCTTAATCTAGTTTGTGTGTGACTTTAAGGGGGATGTTATCAATAAACAATACAGTAGAACTTTGGGAATGGAGGTTGTTCTGAAATGTATAACTCTGAACGAAATGTTACGGTTGTTCCTTCAAAAGTTTACAACTGAACATGACTTAATACAGCTTTGAAACTTTACTATGCAGAAGAAAAATGCTGCTTTTCACCATCTTAATTTAAATGAAACAAGCACAGAAACAGTTTCCTTACCGCATCAAATCCTTTTTAAACTTTCCCTTCATATTTTTTTAGTAGTTCACATTTAATACAGTACTGTATTGTACAGTATTGGCGTGTGTGTGCCTGCTGCCTGATTTTATACTTCCGGTACCAAATATGGTGTGTGGTTGACTGATCAGTTCGTAACTCTGAGGGTCTACTTTATTTCAAACTACATAATTCATCTTCTCCCATGGAGGTACACCTGTGGCTTCCATGAAGTTACTGAATGTTTTTTTTACTTAGGCTATGTTCATTGGCCCAAACCTTGCCATATCAGGCACATTCATTTGTCAATGGAACTGAATATGGTTTGAAGGACGCTATTGGCTGTGCAGGGAACATTCTGACACCATGAGCACTGAACTGGTTACTCTGAGCTTCTGTGAAATTGTTACAGAAAAATTATGAAACTGTTTCTGTGCTTGTTTAAATTAAGATGGTGAAAAGCAGCATTTTTCTTCAATATCTGGCTCAGTTAACAGAAACGGTATTAAGAAACCTTTGGGCTTGTCTGTGTGGCAAACTGGGGTATGAATCTACCCTGCACTTCCTGCCAGGGACAAGATGTGCAACAATATAGTGTGAATTATGGGGAGCTGCTTCCTAGCTTCAAACCAGCTAGGCATTGTGACTCTGGGTTTTTAATCCTGCATTCCAGTACTTCAAAAATGTAGCAAAGCTAAATTGCTTATCAAGGATGTAATTTCTAAAATATTCTAGCTGTTCCTAGTCAATGTGGCACCATACAGTATAAAATAAGTGAGACTCCAGAGAGAGCTCTCTTCAGAGGACTACGCTTGAAGGCATATTTCTTCAGCAGCCATTGGATTTAGAAAGTTTCACTTTTATTTAGAAACTGAACTTGAGGCATCAGCGTTTGAAATTTTGGGCCTATATTTGTATCCCTTATAGTGTTTCTGGAAACTAAGCACATTTTAACTACTACTTTGGGTTCTAGTGGAAGTGATGCAGCATCCATCCAGACCAGAGCTACCATGAGTGAAGATGGGAAAAGCTTTTTACTAAATGGCTCAAAGGTATGTGACAAAGTTCTGTTCTTGACTCAGTGGGTCCTGCGTTTCCTGATGGATTTTGCTAGCCTCAGAAGCTCACTATGACCCTCCACATAGCCCTTCTCTCTCTAGAGGCAAGCGTCACAGTCTACTGAGCCATTTTCATCATAAGCCAGCAAGGGAGGTGAGGAGAAGCAACCCTCCCTCGCACAGTCTCTGTCTCCCAGTATCAGTGATTAATCGGGGAGGGGGGAGCCCGGGCCTGCCCTCTAGTCCGGGCTCCAGCTCAGGGACCCTAAAATTAGCAGCTATGGAAGCTTCCTTTTTGGAAATAGGACGTGTACAATTCCCTGGGCCACTTGCCCACAGCAGCCCCCACTCAATATCTTCTTCACAATTACCTTAGGGTCTCCTTCCTTGAGCCTGATATAGATTTGTACTGCTTCATTCCTCCAACAGCGCGGCTCCCTCCTATAGCTCCTGACACCCACACCTCACTGACTAACTGGGAGGCTTTTTAACTAGTTCCAGCCAGTCCTTGATTGGCTTCAGGTGTCCCAATCAATCTAGCTATCTCCACTGCCTTCTAGAAGGATCTTAATTGGCCTCAGGTGTCTTGATTAACCTGGAGCAACTGCCATTTGGTTACCATAGTACCAGGGATTTGTTTAGCCTGGGGCTAACATACCTGTTCCTCACTACTTTACTATAGCCATTTGGCCTTGCCCCATCACAGGTATTTATCCGTAGAATTGTTGCCGGCCCAGAGGGCCCCGAGGGGGCAACAGGGTTCGTTGCCCGGTGTGCGCCGCACCAATAGACACACCAGGGTGGAGAAGCAAACTAAGTTTATTTGAGATCTCGAAAAGGCACTAGGAGACCAGCAGGTCTCAAATCAAGCGCAGCACATACAAGCAAGTTTTCCCTTTTATATTCCAAGCTGTTTGTGTGTAAGCCTTTGTTCTGGTTTCTTCCTACCCTTCCCTCCCCGACAACAGTTACAGCAGGCAGTACATTGGAAATGTTCCCGTTCGCATGCTTGTCTTTGACCTTGCAAGCTCTACGCACTAGGTCTTTCCGTCCTCCTTTTTCCCCGCATTATCACTAAAAGTTTTGCTAGTGTGAACAAAACTGCAGCTGTCTGCTAGAAAAAGCTGCCCATTACATTTTTGCTCCGGCCTGCTTCAGCATTAGGCTGCTAGCATATAGGTAGGTTAAAGTTCACAAGATGGAGTTACTGTGGCTCACTTAGACCCAGAGCAGGGAGGTTTCATCGGCACTTATGGCCTTCCATCCCCCCCGAGTTACCTGGTAGCTATACCTAGTGACACCAACAGAATGATGAATTGAAATATTTATTTTTAGTATGAGTTTCATAGGAAGCATTCCTATGTCATGGAGCATTGTTGGTCATCTTGTTCTCCCAAATGACAACTTAACTTGGCAGCTTCCTTTGACTTCTGAGGATCCCAAGCTAGTAAAGAACAGTGTCAAAAAGACAGTTCATTCAGTCTTGAGGCCAAAAGAAATTACTACTCAGAATAACCTTTCCTAATCTTTGGTAAAAAGGTTAAGGAGGTCTCACTCTGTGAACATGCTTTTCTTCTCTGCATTTCCCCATCCTATTTCCTGCTTTATTCCGAGAGTCTGCCCCTCACTGTGCATGCTCAGGTGAGGAGAAAACCTGAATTTTTTTTTTTTTCCCCCGGCTCTCTTCCTTTTCTGGCCAAGGTTTTGTTGAATACTTTAAGGAAATATTAACTCTGACTTGGAAGTAGAGCTGGTCAGGCCACTTTTTTGGCTAAATTATGAATGCTGTTTCATCCAAGCCAAAACGTTTGGTGAGACACGTTGGTTTTGATGTATGAAAATTTTGTTGGTTAGGGCACTGGGCTGGCATGTGGAAGACTCAGGTTGAACTCCCTGTTCTGCCTGATTCAGAACCGTTTTTTATCCCAGATCACTCTGAAACAAATAGGTTCAAGTGTCACAGTTTCAGAGTTAACTTCACCCTCGACTCCCCACCCTTTTAGCCTCCTTGAGGGCATTCATTTCACATTTCAGGCTTCCTATCCATCACCTCTCTTGGGTGGAGGTGATGTCTCCCACTCCAGACCAAGGGTTTAAGCTTGCACTCCTTTTGCACTTCACTGTGATTTCCCCAACAGTCCAGACTGGTGTCAAATACCTGTGATTTGTTCTCTCAGGGGGTACTACAGTGTACACCAGTTACCAACCACCTTCACAAAGCAAAGTATACTTGTTCCTAGGGCAAAAGTATTAGAGAAAACATATTATCAAAAAAAAAAATTGACATCCTCTGGTCAGCTCTTATTGGAAGTATAACCTTGCCGTAGTCACAAAGCCAGTGCAAGAGCAGAGATTAAAACTTGACGGAATGAGTCAGTCCTGTGCTGAGACCACTTCTGTTATGAAATAATACAGCATTGTATCTATCACAGCACAGCTAATGTACCTTTTTCTTTTCCCCACCTCCTCTCCCAGATCTGGATATCCAATGGTGGCCTGGCAGACATTTTCACTGTGTTTGCAAGGACTGAGATTGTTGATAAAGATGGTGCAAAAAAAGACAAAATTACTGCCTTCGTTGTAGAAAGAGCCTTTGGTGGAGTCACTAATGGGAAGCCAGAAGATAAACTGGGTATTCGAGGATCTAATAGTAAGAAATATTTAAATTCAGTTTTTTCATAGAAGTGTTTCAAAATTCATGTATTTATCAGAATCAACAAGCAAATCCATTTTGGTCGGCTAATACACTATATTCCAGTTGGATTGTGGAGGTTTTGATTCCTATTAAACATCCGTCTCAGTTTTCTGCATAGACAGTTCAAAGTGCACTTTCACAAATATAAAAATCCATTTTAAGTAATTACCTTCTCATCTGCTAATTGTCATCCATTTCCAAACTTCTCATCTTGCCATGGAAATTCCCCTTTGTGTGCTGCACTGAGAAGATTCAGTAATAAGCAGCATTACTATGATACAGCAGCACTGGGAGCTGGTTTCTCTTTGTTCTATTTATTGGTAGATCTTATTCTTCACCATCAGTCATTCAGTTGTCTGTATTCTTTCGGTCTATCTTCCAGTTCCAGACAAGACTGTAGTTCTCCCCAGTCGTGCTGTACAAGTTAGCAATATTAGTATTTGTACATTTCATAAATTAAAATGCCAACTCCCATCTTTCTTCCCCTTAACTTATTTGGCAAAGTGTATTTAATTCTGTTGTGTTGTATTGAGAAAAATCCAACTCCTAGTAGAGAAAGTAAGTTATTGAATGTTGCTATATCTTTTAACAGTATTTCTCAAAAGTTTTCTGAAATAATTGAATGCTATTTTTATTTCAGCCTGTGAAGTACACTTTGAAAACACAAAAGTACCCGTAGAGAATGTAATTGGAGAAGTAGGAGGGGGATTTAAGGTGAGTTGTGAAGAATAATTATTATCTTTAAACCTACCACAAAGATGTCTTTGGGGAAGAGAATTTGTTTGGTGCCAGATTTAGCCCTAGCTCTAAAAGGACAAACATATTTGTTAATCTCTGAGATCGCTAAACGTGAAAAAGATTAGAGGATGGAATTACTCTGTTTATCTTTTGTATGCAGTCAGTTTCATATGTCCCGTTCTCTGCGTTCATAGGCACTCCCTTTCTTAAGCACTGCAGTAGTGCATGTAACAGAGCAGCTTCTGCTACTGGAGTTTCGTTAGATGGTGCTTCACTTTTTCCATCGAAGATGACTAAAACTGTTTGTTTGAAAAGTTGAAATTTACTAACAATTTTCAACTTTCACTTTACCCATCCTGGAGTGGGCGATACAGAGCAAATGATAATAGCATTGGAGAAAGTTGAACAACTTTGGATATCTCCCCTCATGTGAATGTGCACCTGTGAGTGAAGCTGTAAATGGCTCTTTGACATTTTCCTGTCCCCAACCCTACTCTTGCAGCCAACCTGCCATAGGAAGAGCTCACATGCAGAGGGATGTAAGTTCAAGGCAGCAGCCCACAGGCACAAAATTTGTATTTTGTGTTACTTTGATGCTTAGCATTGCTGCAAAAGTGTACTGATCCAGACCTTTGGAGTAACCAGTGGAGACTTCCCTGCCAAGCAACATGTAACTGTCCGCTGAGTAGGGAACAAGGAGAGTGAGGAAATGCCACAAAAAACAGAAATTAAGATGATGCAGGGAGGGGAAAGAAATAAAAGGGAAAACGAAGCTGGCCGAAAAGGAGGGGGTTGGGAGTGGGGAGAATAAAAGAAGATAGTAGGAAATTCTGGAGGACATAAGGGGCTACCCATTAGCTAATCATCACAAAAGGATTCTACCCGTATGAAAGGCAGCGAACCACTGCTGAGATACTTGAACGTGAACTAAGTGTAAAGACTAAACTGAGCATTTATATGTGAGCATGATACAAGCTGCTTCCTTTCTTAATGTTTAGAAAAGAAAAGGTTAGAATCAGAATCAGTTGATGAATTTGATAAATGGGATGTGATCAGTGACGAGAGCTATAAGGTTTAGGCTACAGTGAAAGTAATCTTGTTATATTTGTAGTTAGTGTTTAAATGAAACCCATCTGGGGAGAAATAAAGATGCTAGATGTCAACAGAAAAATTCTTGGCGAAAAGGTAGAAATATTACGTAAGATTTCATGGGATAATCAATAAAGGAAATGGGAAAGTGAAGATATGAAGTAGCCTATACCCAAGGGCTGCATTTCATAACAACCAGCCAAAAATATGTCAAGAGTCTGTAAATCATGTGGATTAACAAAGTGCGAAGAGTGAAAAAGGTTAAATGAGGCCAAGCAGAGAGTAATTTCAGGTACAGGAGAACAGCAAAGACTGAAAATGAAGCCGTTTTGAAGGAATGGGGGGAAAGCACAAGGACAGGTAGAGAATGAGAAGATTGTAAAAGAGATTAAAGTAAATCTGACATTTAAGTACATAAGGAGCACAAAATCAATAAAGGAGACAGAAGGGACTCTTAAGAGATAGTAAGGGTAATTTATTTACAGAAGAGGACAGATACTGGCAAAGTAATTGAATTCTTGTACTTAGTTTATAAAGGAGTTAAGAGTTCAGATGCCAGAAAGTGAGACAGTCTTCAAGGGGAGCAGAAGAAATGCTGAAAGAAATTGATTGTGCTGGAACAGGTGATCAAGAAATTAGAACTTGTGAGGGACTGAAAAACAAACTTCAACCTCATAGTAAAATTGTTTATCGTTTTTAAATTACACTTGAAATGAAGGTTGAATGTAAGATTGATATCCTGAACAAAGGCTAACAATTGTCTGTATTTAAAAAGATATTTAGGGAATGTCTGATAAAATACAAACCTTAGCTTCATTTCAGTGGGAAAATACTGAAAACATTGATCACAAACTTAATAGACAGATGGAAAATAATGGGTTGTCTGCATAATTCGCTAGGGCTACCATAGAAATATTAAATAAAACCTGATATAAGTAAATGCATTGCTTACCTGCCTTGTTAAATATATGCCATGGGCAGTGAATTTGTCACAGAAAACTTTCAAGCATTGCAGATTATGAGTTTTGGTAAACCTTATTTAAAGTTTTGTGACTTATCCTGAACTAGTTTAGCAAAATATTCCTTCCTCTTGTGTTTATGAAGCAAAAAGTCATGAAATTCTCAAACTGCCCTTTTTGTGTTAAGTAACGTCACCTTGTCAGATTTCTGAAAATGTAATTAATATTCACATACTTAAATTTAGGCTAAATATTTTATTAGCTATAAAAACAAATATTCTTCTTTGAATGCTTGCACGTGTCCATTTCACTGTAGGTGTATGTGCACCTAGTGCACAGTTATCAGAACTTTATCCCTCAGCAGTACTCATCCGGGCAGCTCGAGCACCCTCTGTCTCCACATGCCACTGTGTGCTGGTGTAAGAGGGTGGAACCACTCTGACCCCCCTCAGTTCCTTCTTACCGCCAGTGGTGGTTGTCGGTGCGATCTCAGACTTGTTGTCTTAAGAATCCCTCGCCCCTTTGCATGTATATACTGTTATTGTTAGCAAGTAGTTAAGTTGGTTAGTTTTAGCAAGTCTTTGTGATAGATTTGAATCTTAAGTCTTTTTTGGACTAGTTTTCATCTTATCCCAGTGCTGAAACGATGCTGCGCTCACCAGGTTTTAAGTCCTGCCGCAAGTGCATTGAACCTATTGTAAAAGTTATTAGTGATTTCCCCCCCGCCCCCCTTAACAGAGTAGCCGTTATGTCAGCCAGCGGCCATTAGGGGAAAGCAGACACCTTAAAAACACAGTAGCCTAAACTTTTCAACTGTTTTTCCTTCAAGGCCTTAAGGTAGTTGGAGCTGGTCACAAGCTGGTTTTCACTAACCAGATAGTAAAAGCACGGGTCTAACCACCACCAGTCAAGTGTTAACACTGCAAAAACCTTGGTCTGAATGTGTATAAAAAATCTGTAAAATGTGCGTAAAACAAAGTTTTTGTACTAAGGTGCAAAGCTCTCCTTTCTTCTGCAAAATAAAGCAACCCTTCCTTATCCCTGTCTAGCTGTTATTGGCTCTCAGCTAGGTAAACGCAATATTTCGGTAACACTATGCTGGTCAGTGACCCACACCCGGCCTGCCTGGAATGTTTGGGAGAATCCCACATCAGTGACACATGTCACATTTTGTCAGATTTAAGTCCTGCTCAAAAAAAGATAGAGCAATGAGGCTCAGATGTTTGCTCATGGAGGCAGCACTTCGCCCCCCTTCCCCATCGTACTCCTCACACACAGCTTGCGCCCCAAGTACGTCAGCCTTGGCGCAGAGTGTGCCAGAGATGTCTGCAGCTCCTCAGTCCCATTTACCGGTACTGAAGAAAAGACTTAAACCCTCCTTAAGCTCAGTACCTAGCTTGGGGTTGTTGGTGCCGAAGCCTAGTAGAGGCAGAGACTCTCTGGAGCCTGTGCTAGGTCCATTGAGGGTGTCCCCTGAAAAGCCTCTGTGGCAGAGCCATCAGTCATTGCTGCTCCCAGCCACCCTGGAGGCCTATGCAGCTGAAAGGGACCTGCTTAGCCTCTTAGTTGGTATCCCCACTAGTGCAAGAAGGTTTACAGTCTGTATTCATGCCAGTGGTGCCTACCTCTCTGTGTCAGGAACTCATGGTACCATTACCTCCCAGGCAGCCACAACGGCTGGTACAGTTGAAGGGGAAGCCTCCAATGATATCCCTAGTACCATCATCCCTTCGCTTGGGCTACCTATCTCCGGTCCCAACTGGTTCTGCCTCCCTCCCCCCCCCCTAATTTTGGATGTTTCGCATTCTTCTCCTTCAGACTCAGAGGTACATCCCTCTGCCATCCAAGACAGAGGGCATACATTCCATCAGAGACTTGAGGACCATGGGTCATGCAAGAGTCACAGCACTGGCCTTTTCCTCCTTCTAAGGGGTAATGGCCCCATCAAAGTTGGGTCCCAGGCCCATGTCAGTGGCTAACCATGAGGCATCCCTCCCTCCTGCTAGGACCTTCTGCAACTGTTTCGTTCTTTGTCATTGAAACCGCTCAGGTGGCATCAGTATTGGACATTTTCTGGTACCTGTAACCAGAACAGTGCCAGCCAGAAGTCACTTGGGCAGCTTCCCCACCATAAGTATTGGAGCAGCCTCCACCTCAGAATCCTGTGGTGTCCTCTTCCTCGTTGCCAGATGAGGCTGTTGAAGCAGCAAGCGATTCACCACCTCCAGAGGACCATGGGGCTTATCAAGATCTGTTGAGAAGGGTGGCTTCTGTTCTTGACATTCAGGCAGAGGAGGTGTGTGACAGCTCCCACAAGTTGGTGGACATTCTGGTATTGCCAACCCTGACAGCTTGGTAGTTACCATCCTCCTTACTTCCCACAGCAAAGCGAGCTGAAAGGAGGTACTAGTCCCCAGTAAGGGATACGAGATTTGTGCTCTCACAGTCTTCCAGATTCCTTGGTGATGGCGGCTGCTAATGTTGTTCAGTGTATCTGCTGTCCTGTCTGCATTCAACGCACTGGGGCTCCTAGATAATCAAGACAAATCGATTCTAAAACCAGTACAGAGAACCGAGTTTGTTGGAGCAGCCTTAGACTCCAAAAATCCAGGTTCAAAGCACTGCAGGGCTTGGTGGTGTGACTGAAAGCATATGCTCTCATCAGAACCCATCACTGCCTCAGCCTGCTGGGTCACATGGCAGCGTGTGCCCATGTGATTCAACACCAGACTGCATTTCAGAAAGCTGCTGGCATCAAAGTATGCCCCAAGTTGTTGTCATTTGGACAAGATAGTTCGAGTGTCAGTTTTATTATTTTTTTGGACCCTCTGAAAGTCTGTGGGGCAGGAGGTCCCCTTATCTCCCTGCTACCAACCCTCACTTTAATCAGCCCTCTGGTTTGGGGGCTCATATTGGGTCCCTGCAGAC